CTTAGTTAACATGGTATGCTGGAAATGTATGGTTAGTATCGTCAGATTTTAGGGGTATTAAAAATATACGTACATACATGTTTTAGACTGACTTATTGTCTCCCTCTCTCTCTCTCTCGTCGCCTTAAGAGACGATGATACTTAGATCATAATCTCTTGGTGTCCTTCGGGATATGTTAGGTTGCTTGGCAAACACCTCCTGTCTTACAAATCGCGGGCTCGGTCTTTCGGCAACCAACCGCTGACGAAAGCGGAGTAATCTGGGCTCGAGATTGGGATTAAGGTAATGCTTGCTTTCCTTCAAACGCCGACTTGTATTTACAAAATAAAAGATGGTATTCCATGTTCTCTAATAAAACAATCCACGTTGGAGATCTAGAAAAACTGTTGGTGGACGCACAAGCGAAATTCGAGCGCGTTCATCAGTTTTTCTAGACCTTAAAAAATCATTATTTTCTTAGAAAACATGGGACATCATCCTCTATTTGGTTTACAATGCAGCATGAAAAAGCGAAAGTATTTACATCTGAGAAGGGGTGGTGATTACCCGGGCAACACAACATCCGGATATATGTACTCTATTATTTCCAACCGTGCATCTATTTAACAAATAGATTCCACGTTGCCGTGCGTCTGTTCAGTAATAGATCACAGATTTTGTCAAAATGTTGTAAGAACAAAAAAAAGTGGCACACACGAGGCGATAGCCGAGGCACTGATGTTCTTACCATATCTACACGTCTTCTATGATCTACTACTGAACAGACGCACGGCAACATGGAATCTATAGGTTTTGTATTATAACGAAACAGAAAAATGTTAATGACATCATGATACCTCTGTCTTCCAATAAATCAGAAGTAATTTTAAAAAAATGTTCAAATGCTCTTGTTTATAGTAGTCAATGCGCTTAGCTACACCTAGCTACACCTAGCTACACTTAGCTAGTTTACTGGCATGCTGCTTAAACTGAAAGAAACAAACTGTGATATCAACTAAACATAATAGGCTTAAAAAGCTGGCTATTTACAAGTATGACCGAGGAGTTCAGTTGATCATAAACTACGGCTTACCGAGAAACAACTCCAGCTGTGTTGTCAGAGCGGGACTTGAACCCGCGACCTCCGGATTTCAAGTCCGGCGTCCTAACTACTCAGCCACGCTGCCTCTCCTAATCTCCATCTCATATTTCAAGAACCAATCAAAATGCGAGAATAATTTGACTTATTACTGATAAAGAAATAACGCACCCCTCAATTGCAGTTATAAATAGCTGCAGCACTGGTTACACAACAGCTGTAATCTAATTTTCTTTCAAGGATTAAAGCTCGCTTCTATCTCCTCTAGCGTTTTACCCTTCGTTTCAGGTACAAAAAGGACAACGATAACAAAAGCGACACAACACCATGCGGCATAAAACCAACAAGCGCCTTGATTTCCAAAAGCAGACTCGAGATTCGCGTATGTCCTGGTAACGAGGAACAACGACACCCAGCTTGCCATAGTGGCTAGACTGGTACCCACTCCACGCGCTCTGAGGGGGATGACCTCTGCCATGTAGAGAAAGGGAACTGGACCCCATGCCAGTGAGAAAAAGAAACTGAACAGAACCGAAGTCAAGATGGAAAGCCAAGAAATTCCACTGTGAGCTTGGTAGATTTCGAAATAAACACCAAGTCCGATCAAAGAGACTCCCATGCCAAGGGCATTTGTCCATAGAAGGAGACGCCTTCCCAATTTTTCCACCAGATAACAAGCACTCACAGTACCAGCGAGTTCAACTAAGCTGACAGGAAGGGAAACGAGCTTCGGATCACCGAGACCTGCTTTAGAGAAAATATCGGCGGCGTTAAACAACACTGCATTGATTCCAGTGATTTGCTGAAAGAATAGCAGACCAACACTGATTAAGACAGGCTTGGCTACTGGAGCAGTGAAGAATTCTTGACAGTTAATTTGTACACGGAGCTCTGTAGAGCAAAAAGCAAATGAGCGTTAAATTAACGGCTTCGGTTGAGTGCAAGGACAAAATCCTCTCAATTCTCAATACGTCTTAATAGAACCATTTGAAACATCCTAGATCGGAAAACTTTCTAAAGAATTTGCACTAAATTGGCACTTGATTAGGTCAAACTGAAAGGGTCGACCTGCCAGACCTTATTCCAGTTTGTGTAGTATGAAGGGATTGGGAGTATTTGTATTCAGCCAAAAGTAACTTAGCTATGCACTTTTTGGAACCACGACATTTACTCCCGCGCTTTTTGGCACCAGTCGCATTTCTCCCGCGCTTTTTGACACCAGTTGCATTTCTCCCGCGCATTTTGACACCAGTTACATTTCTTCCCGCCTTCTTGACTCTAGTTACATTTATTCCGCACTTTTTGGCAACATTTACATCTATTCCAGCGCTTTTCGGCCTCAGTCACATTTCACTGTCCGCGCTTTTTGGCACCGGTAAAATTTATTCCCGCGTTTTTTGACACCTATGACATGATTTACTCAAATGTTTTTCCGCGCTGGGCACTAGTTGTACGTTATGACTTTGTAAACTGTCCCATCTGGGCCGGGTTGTTCGAAAGCCGGTTAACGCTAACCTAGGATTAAAAGTTAATCCAAGTGTAAATTTCTCTTCTATAAAAATGTTTTCCACTGCCTATGTTTTGTGTAGTTAGAGATTACTCAAGCTCAAAACTGAAGGAAAAACAATATAAACAGAAAACTTCACCGAAAAGTTACAAAATGGAACCAAAATTCTCGCTAATCCTGGGTTAACTTAATCGGGCTTTGAACAACCCGGCTCTGCTTGTCAGGGCATTGACAACATGATATGTGGCATTTTTGCTTTCCAATTTCATTCAGTCTCATTATATTCACACTTTCGAGCATATCTAACTCGTTAAGACCTACATGCACCCCGGTATCAATCACAGACTTTACCTAGTGTAGCCTCGATTTCCTTACATTCATCTTCGATACCAGTCTGAGATCCGCGTAACCATAGCAACGATTTTAACGCGTCGCTTTTCCGGTTTTTCTCAAGGTACCATCGAGGACTCTCTGGCATAAAGAACATGAGGACAAACAGTAGCGCCGCGGGGAAACAACCAACCAGGGCCAGCCAGTCCCAAAGAACGAAATATCCAATAACATAGGCCAGTATAATTCCTAATGTGACGGCGACTTGATTCAGTGCCCCAAGCATTCCACGTAGGTGAGCTGGGGAGATCTCAGCGATATAGACCTGCAAAAATAACATTTTTCACTAATGCAAAAAGTCAATGAAAAAAAGTTAATCACTGCAATAATTTGGCACAATGAGCAATCGCTAAAGCCTAAAGGAATTTAGGACTTCAGCGAGATTCGAGACCATTCGGTCCTAATAATCGGACTCGACAGGAAACAAAAAAGAGGGTCTGTAATAGTTTCTGTGTTCCGACCCGAGAAAACCACGATGACTTTGACCTATTTTGTTGTTGTAGTTTACTTCAAAAAGATCTGTGAATTGTTCTTTAGTTGGGTCAGTTTTAAGGGAAGGGTCGGGGGGGGGGGTGTTAGATGGGGAGGGGAGAAAAACTTTAGGACTAGATCGAGTCGAACGCGGACCGACGAGTAAAGTCTGGGTCAGTCTTCCATTCACCCCTCTCTCCATTCCGTAGCCAGTCTCTTTCGTGCGGCCTTGACCGTGTAGGAGAGGAAATGAGGAAAGCGTGCAAGGAACTGGAAAGGAAAAAAAAACCAGATGACTGGGGACTAGAGAGCTGACTATCCCGAGCTACTGCGCAGGAGACTAGAACCCGCTTAATACCTATAATAACTCACCGCAACAGCTAATGTCTCTATGCCACATCCTACACCTGTGAAGATTCTGCCAGTATACAGCATCGCGCGGTTCTTAGCAAGGAAAATCAAAAGCCATCCCAACGCGAAAGGTATGGAGCCAACGATGATGGCAAATTTTCGACCGATCAGGTCGACTGCCTTTCCTCCAATGACTCCTCCAAATAAGGCGCCTATGGCTACCAAAGACTACAATAAGAAGAAGGGGCTGTATAAGCATTACGGAAGTTATCGTTTCTGACGATATAAACAGCTGGGTCACAAGGGATCCGAAGTCATATGTCTTGTACGTTCCCTTACACTTAATACGGTCACATGCTTCATTGATTTCTCCTTCCTTGTTTTCCTTTCAATTTCCCGCTGCAAGAGACTAGATCATAGTCTTACCTGCTGCCAATATGTATGGGTTATTGACCAAGTGTGAGGTCAAGATGGCTGGATATTGGCCAAGGTCTTTCTTTGCTTGTCTATGGACCGAGAGGGAGTCGAGGTCCATAAACTCGCAAAAAGAGAACGAGGCCAATATCCAGCCATCTTGACCTAACAAGCTTGGTCAATAAAGGATTTATTATATGGCTTTCGGGGAAATTTTTCTTGCGGGACACGGCGGTAGTCCCGAGCGGGCAAGATAGCTCCATCTTGCCCTCTCGGGTAGCCAATGACTAGCGCAGAATTTGAATAATCTTGCCCGCTCAAGGAGCTAGCCATATAATATAGTACTTTAAAGACTGTATGGGGAGCTAACAAGAAAACCAACTGGTTAATTTAAAAGTTCTTCTGCTCGAACTTTAATTTCAATATAGCCCGGCATGGTCAATCCGGGGAACGTTCAGAAATCGAACTCAATCGAACTCGATCCGTAGATTGAGTTCGATTGAGTTCGGAAATCGAACACTGAACTTTGCGAGAGTTCGATTTCCGAACCAATCGAACAAAATCGAGTCGAATCGAACTCAATCCATTAGATTGCCTTCCATTGACTGCGATTGAAATTCAGTTCGATTGCGTTCGATTGACCATGCCGGGGTACTGAGATAAGCAACCTCGTACCCAGGGTCTTTTCCCTGGCTTGAGGGTCAGGGAAAACGACCCTGGGAACGAGGGTGTGAGCTAAAATCATATTTATATGCCTATTCAAGGTGTAATTATCTAATAATTACAAAAATGAGCTCAAAATAGAAATTATTGTTGCCTGTGGCAAGGAGCAAAAAATCTATTACTGTCCTCCAAACCAAACCAATAGACGCGAAGTTTGCACGCACTCGCTCCACTTCGCGCGTTACTCTCAATAGCATTGACCTCGTGACCCGGGATTAGTCCATCAAAGGGCATCTTCTTTCTTCACTCCTCAATACAATAAAATCTCGCCTTGAGCACACCCCACAATTACGGATATCGCACTACTAAGAGCTAAGTACTAAGAAAATTATGGAATCTACTTTCCGATATATCGGAACGGACTCCCGTTATTGCGGAATTGCGGACACTTCATGTGGTCCCAAACTAATATTTTATTGTTCCTCTCTCGTTACAACTGAGTATGTGGACGTATTGAGTGACATAATTCATCATGCAGTAGTGAAAGTAAGTAAGTACTTTATTTAGACACATTTGACTAGTGAGCCTGGGGTTCGTTTAAATTAATGTGAACGTGTATGCTAAATTAAAATTTAAAATTTAAATATGTTATCTATTCAATAAAAGACAAAAACTAGACTATAAAATTTAAAATTGAAAAACTAGGCTACAAAAGACTATGCAGTCTTCGAATTCTCATTAGTCTGTGCACTATTTTGATTTATAACGCCGCAATCATTAAGCACGAAGGTAACTGTGTACTGACAAAGAAGGCCTCCGTAACACTACGCCGGAGGAATTTAAAAACGCAACAATCACCTGTCATTTTGGATATTGAGTAACCTCGGGCAGGGAATCATATGATTATCGTGACCCATTGTTTTCGTAAAGCTCCGTTTTCAAAATGTTAACAGTCCACACTAAAACGAAAAGCCGGCATTTTCAAATTCCTCCAGTTTGAAGAGCTTTTTGGAAAAGCTCCGTTTTCGCGACGGATTAGTGTGGACGGTAGACCATAGCTGTAGCGTGACGTAACTGTGGAAAACCGACTGCCGGCCGGGGAAGCTCCATACCGCTAACGGCGTAAGAGAAAATAGTAATTATAATAGAATAAAATGACAAAAAACCCTTACCCTGTTCTAATGTTCACAATCCCCCTGAACGTATTCACAGTGACACTTACCGAAAACCACGATTGCTGGGAGCTGTCTAAACGGACATCCACGCTGGCGCTCGAATTTGACTGCAAATCGTACGAAGCCGGCGAGGAATACCCCAAGGAATAGCCAAAGCTAAACGTGCCCCAAATAGAGATCAGCGTAGCGCATATCACTCTTCTAGAACTGATTTTTGGAATGAGCGTGGTTCGTTCATCGAGCGATGTCGGTAACTCCCCATCTACACCTGTATCCATTTAGAATGAAACTGATGAAAAATGTGTTTTTCGATTTGACTGATCAGAGGCTCCAGGGGTTTTACGAAAAGAAACAAATGGGAATTGTTGATTAAGATATGCTTTCGGATCGGCACACTCCAAGACTTCAAAGGAACAGAAATTTCATTCGTCCTAGTTTTGCAGGTACCTCTCGCGAGTTTGCTGAATCACGCTTCAATCATAAGACTAGCATATGATCGGCAGGACTATCATGAAGTCACGCAATCCCGGCTCATGGAACATCTTGAACGAAAGTAGAGAAGTGCGGTTTGATAAGAGACTTTGTTCGTATTTCACGAATACTCTGTTGAAACAGACTTTCAACTAATCAGGAATATGAGGAGAATGAGTGGAGGTTTAATTTCGCTCAGGTGGAAAATTTTCTCAGTCAAAAAAATCTTATGTTTGGCTGGATTTGAGGGGGGAAAGCCGTCCATAAAACGTGTCAGCTGACGTGCTTTTTTTTTTTATTTCTTTTTATGGATCTTGCACCAACTATGGTAAGGAAATCAATGAATTCGAAAGACATGAAAGCTTCTTGGACGCGTTTTCCCTTCTGATTAGCGATCAGCCGGTTTCATCACTATTTGGTAGTAGGTT